AGGGATTGAACTCAGGACTTTGTGCTTGTGAGGCAGACACAGTGCCACTGAGCTAAATCCTCGACCCTAAGCATTTACGGTTATTTTTTGAAATGCAAAATTCAGGGGCAAAAAATTTTGACAGTCCCATATTTTAGTTCAGTCCTGACTTATAAATATATGAGTACTTTGAGGGATGATATTCCAGCTCTAAGACCTATGAGGTCAGCAAAATATGGTGATACACACCTGTAATTCTCACACTCTGGGAGGCTGAGGCAGAATGATTAAAAGTTTGAGCCTAGTCTGGAAAACTTAGCAAGACCCTGTCTTACAATAAAAATTTTTAAAAAATGTCTGGATATAACAGTGAGAAAGGCACTGGATTCCATCCCTAGTATCCCAAAATAAATTAAATAAAATAAAAACAATTAGCCTTAAAATCTCACAGCCCCAGAAAATATTTTATTTTTATATGTTAAGTTCAATTAATTTTATAATTTTTAATGTATGTGGAAAATACTCAATAAGCATTCCTGGTCTTACTAACAAGTCTTAACACAGTGATGGCAAACCTTTTAGAGCTTTCCATGATAACAAACTGCTGGCTGTGGCACATGTGCCATAGGTTCACCACTACTGCCTTAATATAACTAAAAAATTTTATCTTTGCCTGACAAACTATACAGTCTAATACTTTAAAGTATTTCTTAAAAAAAAATTTCAAACCATGGAAACAACTGGCTCCAAAAGTTTATCTCCAGGGACATCCATCCACGTCATTTCAATGGCACCAGAGTCCCCTGGAGAGCAGGGTGTGAGCAGATCATCTACGATGTTGTTAGGGTCAGCTCGGGAAGGTCCACGAACCTGCAGTAAGTAGACATTTAAAATTTTATTTGAGCAAATTAAATAAACATTAAAATTTAGGTCATTATTGGGGAATCTGAAAGTATATGTTTTATGTTGTGTTAAAACATTTACTTCTAAAAAATATACAACAAAAAGTAGTTATCTCTAGGTTAAGGGATTTAGTGGATTTTATTTTCTTTCTTGATGCTTTTCTTTATTCTGAAATTTTATACAATGAATTACTTATATGATCCTGGAGGGAAAGAAAAAACAGTTATACATGACTATACTTTTCCTTTTTTTCCTCTAATGCATAAGATACAATCTTAAGTCTCTCTGCTCCAAAATTTCAGTGGTACAAAGCCAGGGATTTGAGTCTTTTTTGGCTTTGTCATAGGTTCTGACCTACCACTGGGTATAGAGTAGTACTTTAGACGTATGATAAATTAATAGGCAAATATGTTCTTGCTAATTGAAACAACCTTTAAAACAGAAAAGATGGAGCACAGAGATGTCTGCTATCATTGTTGATTGAGATCCTACTGTTAAATATTTCTCAGTAAAAAAATGACTGAAGAGATACAGTACGTAAATTGTGGTACCCACTTTCAAATTTAGGCTTTAGTTCAAGCTCTAACTTTTTCAAAAAGTTTACTTTATCATGATATATATATCATGACTGAGATATCTTAGTTTATTCAGGATTTTCACATGTATTACTTTGCGTAATACTGGATACTACTATCTTCAAGAAGGAAGGTTGACTCAGTGTTACTTAGGTATCTTGAGACTACAGTATTTTACAATACTGTATCTCAGCCATATACTGTATCACTCTATGCTCAAATCATTCATGTAGACTAAACACTATACAGGAAAGGCAGGATAGCAAAATGGTTGCACTCTCAGATTTTTAAATGCATGTTGTCTAAGAAACAAATCATACTTCTGCCCCATTCTAGACAAAATACTTTGGCAAATTGGGTTGGCATCAAGTCCCACATTAACTACCAACCAGTGTCTAGCTACGTGTAACTCTTGTTTTTGTTAGGACTAAATGAAATAGTAACATGTAGGACAGAGCATAATCTAAAAGACTATCTCATATTATTTTTAGTTCGTTCATGATTCTGCTCATGGTTGTTCTAGCTACACCAGAAGCAATCTTTTAACTATACTTGCATTAAAATACTGAAATATTTCAAAAGTGATTTCACAGAAAAATTAAAACATGTTAGGATTACAAATAGTGGCTATTAATAAACTTTACTGAAGAACTAATTTTCAATGACACAGAAATATATCAATTATATAAACCCAAATATTGTATTGTCGCACAACACTGAAATCTTTTCAAATTTACTGAAGAAAAACCAACAATGGTCTTGTTTTAAAAATATACTTTAAAAAATATATGGTCATGGATTTAGCTCAGTGGTTCCAGTACCTGCCTCGCAAGCAGAAGGACCTGAATTTGATCCCTGGTACCAAAAAAAACCAAAACAAAAATATACAAGTATGTGAAGGGCTGAGAATATAGTTCAGTGGTGCCACACCTGCCTGGCAAGTGCAAGGTGCTGAGTTAAATCCCTGGTGGTGGTGGTGGGGAGAATATATCGAAAAGAGAGATTTAAGTCACTTACCTTTTTGAAATGAGTAGCTGACTGTACTTTTCTAACAGGCTGCATAAGTGCATCACGAACAATGATACTGATATCTGCCCCTGAATAACCATCAGTTTTCTTCCCAAGTTCTCGGAAGTCTGCTTCTGTTAGACTGTTCTGAGTGGTTCCCAAGTGCAATTTAAACATTGCAGCTCGGGCATGGGCTTCAGGCAAAGGAATGTAGATTCGTTTCTCAAATCTTCAAAGAAAAAAATTATATCAAAGATATTAAAATATGTATTTAATTTTAATTTAAAATGAGGATATTTTCAAGAAGAAAATAGACTAATATTAATAAATATTAGATCTTGATAGAAGATGTCTAGGTATTTTCAATGATAGCAGGTTAAGTTTAGCAATGTATGGAGTTAAACATGTGCTTAGGTTAAATAAAGGATACATTAAAAACAAACAAAAATAAAAACAAAATAGCCAGGAAGCCAGTTTGAGGTGTTTTAGTGTTTATTCAAAAAACTTTTGGATTATTTTAGTCATCATGTTGGTATGTCCAGAATTCACATCATAAAAAGAAAAGACAAATCCTGGAGGATTACATTTTCCCATAAATTGTACTTTGAACTTTTTTTTTTTTTTGTAATAGGGATCAAACTCAGGACACTGCTTTTGAGGCAGGCTGTAGTGCCACTAAGCTAAATCTCTGTGCCCCTGTACTCTGAACTCTTAATCAAGAGATTAATGATTAATAATATACAGATAACAATTCCAATAGTGAAATTATTCAAAAATCATAAAAACATATTACACATGATGTCTTGTTATAAATGAATTCATTCAGAATAATCCTATACCATAGATAATAAATACTATGTGGGGCTGGGGATTTAGCTCAGTGGTGCCACCTCCTGCCTCACAAGCTCAAGGTCCCGAGTTCAATCCCCAGTACCAAAAAAAAAAAAAAAAAAAAAAAAGTTAACTGTGCTTGCCTTCTTAGAATTTCAGTATCTGGAGATAGGAAGCAATGAACTATTTGCGCAGTATTTGAAGATATTTCTTTAGATAATTCTCTGTGGCAATGAGATTTTTAAAAAGTTTCTATTACCTCTAGAGATAAGTTTGGAATTAGGCTATTTTTCAAAAATATCTAAAACATTTCCTTTCTTAGTACCAGACGGAGTCTAACATGTTGGAAAATCAATGGATAAGAGTGGCAAAAACTGAAGCTTTTTTAAATGCAAAATTAACTGAATGGAATAGGGAACTGTGAAGCAATGAAAAGTAAAGACTCTATATACCTCTCATATAGCTGAACTTTTACATTCAAACTTAAAAATTAGATATAAAATGTTTTACTAAAAATTTGACTTATATAATTATCTACAAAAACTTTATATGAGTGGTCTTCAAAGAAATATAAGACTATACCTATAAATTCTAGAAGCATCAATGCCTGCTATGCTTAATCAAAATTAAAGGTAAGCAGAAGGCAATATATTTTTCAATGTGAAAGATTCCAGTATACAGAAATCTTGTATCTTTTTTTTTTGGTTTTTTGAGACAGGGTCTCACTATGTAGTTGAGATTGACCTGGAACTCACTATGTAATCCAGGCTGGTCTTGACTCATAGCAATCCTCCTGCCTCAGCCTCCCCAGTGCTGGGATTACAGGCGTGCATCACCACACCCGGCCAGAAATCTTGTATCTTTAATATACCAGGAAAACAAGTAAGCAAATGGCTCTCTCTTCCCTCGGGGGGACAACAAGGTTAGGGCATATTAAAAAGTTTATGAAAATTTATCAGAATGTCTCTTCACTAGACAAAAGGGGATTACCATGACTTGCTACAGAGATAAAGTTAGAATTAAGATATTTACTGTATCATCATACCTCCGCCTAATGGCAGAATCCAGAACCCAGGGTATGTTTGTAGCTCCCAGAACCAAAATTCCATCATTGTCCACACCAACCCCTGTATGAAAATAGGTAATATTTAAAATAATGTCATTTGGTATTTTAAAAATCTTGTCTGGATGTTCTTTTAAAAAGTGTAGTGTAGTGCTTAACATCAAAGTGCCTCATCTTCAGTCTCTCTAAAAAAGTGTATTTTATCAAATATCATGTTACTGTAATATGATGTAAATACTGCCAAGAATCAAATTACCTAGATTGCACAAACATTATTAATATTCTTTTCAAAATATTTCTTTTACTGATATGGTTTCTGCTGTCACATGTGGAGAGATGTGTGTGTGTGTGTGTGTGTGTGTGTGTGTGTGTGTGTGTGTATAGTTTGTTTTTGTTTTGTGGTGCTAGGGATCGAACCCAGGGTATTCATGCTGCGCTATATCCCTAGCCTTTTTTAATTTTCTGTTTTGAGATAAGATTTGGCTAAGTGGTTAAGTCACCCAGAGTGGGTGCAAACTTGTGATCCGCTTGCTTCAGCCTCCCATAGTGCTGCGATTACAGATGTATATCACCCACCAGGCTACAAGTGGATATATTAATCTCTTTACTATTTATATTAGCAAGTCCTGTAAGATAATGACAGCTGCAGTCTGCATGCATATGAAAACAATCAAGATGAAATGTGGCATAATGAATCAGTAAATCTGTTAGGAGAAATTCTGCTTAAATTTTTTCCACTGTTGGTATATGGTTATATAACAAAGACCATTTTAAAAAATGAGTAACACCACCTTGCATTTGCACAAGAAACTCTGTCTTAATTCTACGTGCAGCTTCACTTTCATTTTCACTTCTCGAACCACAGAGAGAGTCAATTTCATCAATGAAGATAATGGAAGGCTTGTTCTCCCTGGCAAGCTGAAATAAATTCTTAACCAATCTAAAAAGAAATAAAACACTTTCACTCTCTTAAAAAAATATAGTAAAAGGCCAAAACAAAGCAATAAACCAATACTGAAAGAACTATATACATCAAAAGCCTAATGGTATTTCAGGTACAGAGAGTAAGAATGCTACAGTTACAATTTACTAAGTTCTATAAACATGTAAATATGGAATTTACAATATGAAAAGACATGTGCTGTGGGATTACTTATATTTTTTATATAAAATAAATGCCAAATTAGGAACTGATCTGACAGAGAAATGAATACATGTTATTTTTTAAAACATCTACTAATGATATAAAAAAAACTATCACTTTCAGACTGATACAGTGACTATATGCAAAGAACAAACAAAAAAGATTTACTACTTACTTTTCACTTTCACCTAGCCACTTAGAAACAAGGTCGGAGGAAGATATTGAAAAAAATGTTGAGTTGTTTGCTTCTGTTGCTACAGCTTTGGCTAAATAGGATTTTCCTGTTCCTGGTGGCCCAAATAATAGGATTCCTCTCCAAGGTGTCCTCTTGCCTAAAATTTGCATTAAAAAAATAACGTGAGAATTCTAAGACTGTTCATTTCAATCACTGTAGACATCATCCATACTTAAGAATACTCTGAAAAGGTTTTTACTCTAAAGTTATCAGTAAGAATAAAAAAGTATTCTAAAAATAAGCAAGCTTATAATTCCAGTACTCTGGGAGGCCGAGGGAGAAAGACTGCAAGTTTGAGCCCCGTCAAAGCATTCAGTGACTTGGCAAGACCCTGTCTTAAAAATAAAAATAATAAAAGGGGCTGGAGATATAGCTTAGTGCAAGGACTGCAAGTTCAATCCCCACTACCATAAATAAAAACAGAGAAAACCAACACACCACTCTAAGGTAACTATGTCTTAAATGTATTTTATTTGCTAGCTCTAGAGACCATTTTGTCAAAAGTGTATTACATAAATATAGGCCCAATAGGATTTTTTTAATTTTTTATTCCAGTATCAGGGATTGAACTCAAGACCTTGCACTCGTGAGGCAGGCAACGTATTATATAAATATAGGCCCAATAGGATTTTCTTTTTTAATTTTTTATTCCAGTATCAGGGATTGAACTCAAGACCTTGCACTCGTGAGGCAGGCATGGTACCACTGAGCTAATTAGCCCACCCCACAGGAAGGTCTTTTGCTTGCTCACTCATTTATTCAACCAGAATGTATCAAAACCACGATGTGCAGAACAGAAAGACAAAAGGATCACTGCCCTCCACAGGTTTACAGTCTAATCAGGGAAAAAGAGTTCATTTAAAGGTGCACTTTCTAATGATCTGTTGTATGCATGTTTCAACAACACTCTATCCACAGAAGAAGCTCAGATTCTTTTGACTTATGACCTATGCAGAATGGATCTAACAGTTTGGATGACTTGTGAAGTTCTGCTGAATTCTTAATTTCCCAGGGAAGCAACAAGTTAGTATTACAGTTAGCAGTCTCAATGGGTGGCTGGGCAATGATTTGAAAACTCCCTTAAATCCTAGTTTTTCTAAAATATAACAAGGGAACAAATGAACTCTTTGTGCCTTAATTTTGCTAATGAGAAATTATAATGCTATCTCAAATGAGCCAGAATGTGTTATAGCTGGCAAATATGTATTAAAAAATGTGTAGGAACAAACTGTGGATGAGTATAGTTTCTGCAACAGAATGATACAGGTGACTCATGGCTAAACTACAAACAGTTATTTTTACTGTTACAAAAGCCTCAACTTTTACTTAAATTCTATTTTTCTATTTTATGTGCACAATTATAGTTGTGTTCCTCAGCTGGTGGTATGTATACCATTGGTATTGCATGAATACTTTTAGGTGGTATACAAATTCTTTTTATTTAATTGGCTACCTATTTAGACATATGTTAGAAAACATCTACAGTAGACAGAAAGCAGTCTTTAAAATAATATTACTAGGTAAAAGTGAATGACTTGAAGTTGCAATAAAAGAAAAATCTATTCTGTTACAAGTCAAGAAAGAGATGACCTCTGAGGAGCAAAGACAAAAGGATTGCTTTACTACTGGTAATACAACCCTTCTTTATCTGGGGGATGGTTAATTGATAAGAGAGCCGAATACATACAGTTTCTGATACTGAAATATTTATGACTTACTTCAATAAAATTTTTTTGTAAAACGTGAGCAATTTAAAGAAAACTATTTTATTATTTATAAAGAAAACTTTTAAAAACAAAGATACATATGTATGAAAAAATTCATGGAGAGGATAAATGATTCATGTTTCAGAAACACTGGTAAAGTTATATAACGTGTTCATTCATATATTTGTACCTTTATAGGATTATGATGTCAACTTTTAAACTGTTTCATATTCCTGAAGGTAAAAGTCACAATTTAAAGCTAGGTAGACTAACACATGGCCCACAGGTTCTTTGCTGTCTTCCTGATGGCTATTTGTGATATCACTATCTGTATCTGTACAGTCTGAGGTAAATGTCATAGGCTTGCTCTTTACATAAACCAGGTTTTTTTAAAAAGGAAAAAACCTATGATTAACTGTTAAGACCACGGAAGTAGCCATAACATGGACACAGGCCATCAGTCAGAAAAAGGACAATGTGAAGGAATAACTCAGCACAGACAAATCACTTACAGCTGGAACTAGAACTAGAGCTATCTCCACTTCATGGGTCAGCAACATTCTCCTCACAGTGACAATCAGCTGTCTCTTTGTTCCTAGAGGATATTCACTGCATTTGAAGCTGTTAAATAATTCTTACTCCTCTTTTTAATAAATGGAAATAATTTTAAAAAACTAATACATGCCTATTGCAAAAAATTCAGATGAAAGTCAAATGAAAAAGTAGAAATCATTTTTAATCTTATTCTCTGGCACATATTTTAAGTCAGCCCATCTACACTTATTTCTCAGCATACACATTTATTTAACAAACAAGAAATCATCCTTTGTTTCACAATCTGGTTTTTGACATTTGCAAAAAATGTGGACATTCTTCAATAAATGAAAATAAAGAATGAATTTCATTGATAAGAATATACGCTATATTTTAATAAGCATATGGCACTACCCTGACACAGCATCTCAATGATTTACGCTATGCCCCACTGGTTGATATTTATGTTGTTTTGTTATATATATTATAATATATATAAAATTTATATAAAAATATATAAAATTTAATAGGTACAATACTAAAACTTCTGTGTAAAGATATGCTATTTCCTTCTAACTGGCATATCATGATAATTCATGATATGGTGACAAGAACTCACCTTTTACCTCAGTCATTGATGTGTTTTAAAAGAATCATGAAATAAAATTACTTAGAAGTCATCTCACCTGTAAAAAGATGAGGAAATTTAATGGGCAAAATCACAGCCTCTTTAAGTGCTTCTTTGGCTCCTTCAAGACCAGCAACATCACTCCATTTCACATTCGGTCGCTCAATAACAATGGCACCTACAAAAAATTACGCTATCTTTAAATTATGGAAGACTATTTTCTCAAACATATAATATATGAATTACTAATGCTAAAAGAAATACCTTATAAAGTTTCCTGGCAGAGTTATACTTACTTGTTTTGAAACTGTACAATGAAGTAGTGTTGGGAGTAGTCAGCAGGAGGCAAGTTCCTACTTTCTAATTTGTGAGATGAAAAATAATACTATCTGCCCACACTACAGTATAAGGATCAAATGATATAATACTACTGTTTGGAAAAGCACCTAACATTACATATAAAGAGGTTATAATAGCTCAATGCAACAGTAACCTAGAGAATCAAGCATATTTGTTTAATGGGGGGTTGACTGACTATTCTCCCATGAACCAAAAGAAAAGGTGATCCAATGCTTTCCTCAACCACAGAGAGAACATATGCTACAGCTTTAACTAAATATAAATGGAAAAGAAGAAAAGATGAAAAAAGGGAAGAGATAGAAATGGAAGTAGAAGTAAATGACACACAAAATGATATACATCCTTGTAGATCTGCAACACTTTCCTGAGATTTTCTACTTGGCTTTCCAACACTAAATATACATTTACAACTTCTGCAAATTAATGAAGTCACTTAAAGCTTTTCCAAATTCTAGTATTCAGAAATTTCTCAACTCTAAACAGTTAAATAGGCTGTTCTAACATGATATGTAGTTTTGATAATAAAACACCATCACATAATTTACTAGTTATGAAATTAGTTTTATGTCTTTTTTTTCTGATTAGCAAATACCACTTATTATCCTAACTATATTCAGTGGCTTATTTCCTAAACTATTAAAATATTAAGTTATTAGACTAAAATCAAATGAAACCATGAACATTTCTACATCCTAAAAGTTCAGACTAGTAGAAAAAAAGGGTAATTTACTTTGTTTAATGTTCCATTAAGATTAGTAATGCTGCTGGGTATGGGGTACACATCTATAATCCCAGCTACTCAGAGGTTGAAGCAGGAGGGTCACAAGCTAGAGGACAACCTGGATAACTTAGTGAGATCTTATATCAAAAGAAACTTTTTTTAAAAAGGGCTGGGATGTAGTTCAGGGCAAAGGCCCTGGGTTCTATCCCCAGTACTGCAAAACAAAACAAAACCAATGAACAATGATTAGTAATCCCACAGAAAGAAAACATATACATTATATGATAGGATTTTACTTTACATATATGCATCAACTGGCTAGCTCAAGATTTTTATGCAATTTTAAAAGTATGCAAAATTTATTTTCATGTTTAACTAATACCTTTCTCCTTAAAGTGTAAAGGTAAATTTGGAATGTTTATTAATGAAGGTTGAATACTTGATATTACTTAATGGTCTGTAAAACTAAAAAGGTGAGAGGAGATTACCGAACAACACAAAAAATTAAATGTATTTCTAATTACATACATCTATATGTTCTTTGATTATACCATGTATAATATTAAAATATTACCCTCAAAAATCACTGAATTATCTACACCAATTAACAGAAAACCAAAATCATACACCCATTTTTAATTCTAATAATCATGGTATAATTAATGTCATAAGACAAGTGTTAGAATAATTTAGAAAAAAGAAGACTAAAAAATAGTGTATTACACTAAGAAATCCATTAGCAAATGATTAAAGATGGAAAAAAACCTTGATGAAAGCCTAGAGTTCCTGTCATATTATACTTTATCCTAAAATCCCAAACAAATTTCCTCATTTAAATGTTTTAAGCATTCTTTTAAAAAAAATATCTAGCCCTTGTGACAGGGAATTTACAGAAATTGCTAGTAAAATCAGTTGGATCTTTTTCAAGATTGAAGATACATAGAATTTTCACAAGAATGGGATGGGGAGAAAGGAACCTAAACCAAAACTGGTAGGATTAACAGAAAGAAAGCTTCTTCACTTATTACTGGAATAAAGCCACTTGTCACAGACTTTTGGGTTACCTGGCAAATACTGAATGTGTAGTGTGCAGAGCACATTCTTCTGCTTCCAGCAGTGGGACACTGCGTCGAAACTCAAAGTTTTTGCCCTAGGACTATATCTTTCACTTTATCTTCATTACTTGTATTGTTTTCAAGGTACTATCCTTATAGTGTTCTCCTACACATCCCAGCTGAGTAGATAAAGCAGATATATTACCAAAATAAAGAGACTAGTTTAGCAAGGTTAAAGGTCTAGTTAAACTGTGTATTCACTACTCAGTAACCAAGGTTACATAATGGAAATAATTTCTATTCAGCATTCTATTTGGTTAGATTAAAAAAACTATTAGCTAACATATCAAAGAACAATCAATCACATCTCAGCGGTTAAAGAAGCCAGTTATTAAATAGATGCCTTTTTATACATGCAGAGCTACCATTTGTCAAGTCCCTAGAACTTTTCAGATCTAATATTAATAAGTTGTTACACTATTATTGATTTTCCTTCCTGAAAGGAAAGTACTATGAATTTTCATTTTAGAGATAGGTACTCAGACTCTAAGAGGTTAGGGGAACTTGCCTACAACTTGAAAGCTTTTTAAGTGATAAGACCTTGAAGAGGAATCCAGATCTGAATCTACACTCTCTTTGTTATGCCATTACATAGGCTTTTACAGAAAGGTTAAAAAAAAAAAAAAAGAGAGAGAGCTGAAAGAGATAAAGAGACAGGTGTAAATGGCAAGGAAGACTGAAAAGCAGATGAGAAAGAGCAGGTAAAAAACATGAAATAAATAATCAATGGATCAGCCACAGCAATGGTAAAAAGTAATTTCTAATTCATTTTGCTTCTGACAGTAAATTTTAATATTGTGAGATTTTGTACTGTGCTAACAGTATAAATGTTACCTGCTTTACAAGGGACAAATAAAGGATAAATTTGTAAGTTTTTAAAAGAAGAAATAACAACAACAACAACAAAAAAACAAACTATTAAAAAACCCTGAAGGTGCAAATCCATGAAAACGTTCTAAACAAAGCCAGCATGTGACCACTGGCAACCTCAGCCAGTTCTAGAATTGCATTTAAATACAGGAGGAAATAAACAATTCAAGTCAGACAATTCATCATAAGTCTTTTCAACAAGGTAGTAAATTTAAAAATGAAATCTAAAGCAACCTTGAAGTTGATTCTGCAGTTTCTTTTTTTCAGGATCATCAGATTCTCCTTCCCCATCACTGTCATTCCTAATAAAAAGAATTTAATATATTTAATAGCATTCAAATAATGCTATCAAATAATGCAAAAAATGAAGGAAAGATAACCTGAAATATCTGTAATTTAAATGGCAAAATGAAACATTCACATTAAAAGTTATGCTTACTTTAGTAAAACTTTAAGAAGCAGGTATATCAATCAACAGGGAATCATGGACAAGAAGGGACAAAAAGTTCAGGAAGAAGTCAAGGGCTACCTTCAAATTTCTATGATATACTAGTATATGTATGAATTCATAGATACATACTCTATACATTGTTCCATGAATGATTTGAGATGAATTACAGGAAAGTTACAAACAAAATAAAAACACAAGGGTCCAAAATATAAAAGGGGATAAAAGCACAAGAGGTTTTATGCTAAAATAGGATTGCCATGGTTAATATAATGGTAGAGTTACAGATGATGAAGGTTGACAATGAAAAGGATTCACTTGCTCCAACCTTCTTATATTGTGCTTTCTTGTACTATAAAAGCTTTATTTATTTAAACATACCACCATCACTACCACCCCCGCCCCAAAAAAAACCCTAAAACAAAAAACCAAAATACCCTACCCTCTTCCAGAGATGGTTTCATATGACATCAGTTCCTCTGAGAAAGGTATGGGGGGTGGGATGGGGTGCTGCTTGCACAGATAGCAGAAACGTACTGTTTTGGTGAGAGAGCTGAGACAGAAAGCTTAAGGTGTGCTCCATGACTCAGGGAGGGGAACAGTTCAGAGGGAGGTTGACAGCAGCAGGATCACTACTTGACATGCCTCTATCCTGGTACATATAAACTCAAGATTGCATGCTCACACACAACATACTGAGTCTTTCCCCTGGTGATACGGAATCTAAGCGTGATTCTCTGGCCTTAAAATGCTATAAGGTAATAAACTAAAAATAAATCTCTGCTTGCTCCAGCCAAGAGCAATCCTGCTGGTTGCAATTAAGACTGTTATTCAGAACATGAAAAAAACTGGCATCCCTTTGAAGGTAGCCATCATGGGAGAGATGATTACAGATTCTTTAAAGAGGACTGGAAGAGCCTCAATAGATAGGGGAAGACAGGATATTTTTGCTGGTGAGGGAGTCTCAGTGAGAGCTGGGGGCCCTGGGCACTTGAGGTCAGCTGAAGTCTTCCCATGTTTTCATCTCATGTTGGAAGTCCTGTCTTACACTAAATGTCATTTCATATAAGAAACCCTAAAGTTGAAATTCAGTAATCTGTAAGACAGAAGTGTGATTTGAATTTTGTTATGTCAATGCTATAGATATAATAGATAAATATTCTTAGGGTGTCAGAGTAACTCCCAGTTCTCTGATCACATCTTGAACAGATAAAACTTGGAGCTTATAATTTTCTTCAATCTCAACCATGTGGCAACTAGTCAACTCTAATTCTTATATTCCTCATGTCCTTCAAAATGGTCTATGGTAGCCTAATTCCTCTAAAATATTGCCTAAAAGGTACTTCATTCCTCAGGGGCACAAGGGATTATCTAAGGAACTAGAACCACTGTGGAACATGAACTACATGCATCACATTCTCTAAAGCTCATGAACACCTCACTGCTTTCAAACTCAACCTGGACAAATCATCCCACTGTGGAGTCTTGTTGTCTTAAGAGTGTGACAACTGGAACTACTTGGGGCACCAGTTAATAGAAAGATCAAACAGGATTTGGCTAGAAAATGTTCCCCCTGCTTAGCATAGAGCTGGGCATGCCTACTACATACCAAATAAGAGAATTCTGCGTCTGTATGTAACAGACCACCCACACAGGAAAACATTCCAAAAACAGGTTTCAACTTTTAAAAATTTATGGTGTTGCATTATAATGACAACATAAAGTATATGGGATGCAAATCCACAGGAAAAAACCTTGAATATCTAAAAAATTATTTGCATTATTGGAGTTATTTTGTCTATATAGTCTAAGACTTCATTTATGGATCATTCTTATAATTTAAACCTCAATTTTTGTTTTGTTTTGTTTTGTTTTTGGTACCAGGAATCGAACTCGGGTCCTTGCGCTTGCAAGGCAGGCCACTGAACCACTGAGCTAAATCCCCGGCATTAAACCTCAATATTACATGATGATGGTCAGAGGTTGAGTGCTACACCTATGCATGTTTTCCCTACCACTAGCGAGCAGTCCTGGGGGTTTCTTTGGGGCATATCATCCACTAAGCTTGGTAAAGTAGGGGTGCACAAACTTTCGTCTGTGAAAGATGAGACTGTAAAATAATTCAGTTATTGCAGTAATTCAGTCTCTCCTGCAACTACTCAACTTTGCTGTAACAGCATGCAATGAGCCTTGAGGATGGTATGTAAACAAAAGGGTGGACCTGTGTCCCAGTAGAACTTTCTGACAACAGGCAGTCGGTCTGTTTTGGCCTGTTACTCGTGGTTTGCTAATACCTGATTCAAACAAAATAAATTTATTTCGTAAATGGAAAGTTGAGAACAAAATCTAACACTTTTAATACATACCCTTTTTCATCAGCTGTACTTGGCTGTCCCTCTTTCACTGGCTTCTGTGGTGTTTTCTCTCTTTTCTTCAGATACTCCTTTAGTTTTTCTGCTCTATCAAGATATTCCGTACACTTTGCCCTGATACTTTGCTTGGCTTTATCACCCTGTGCTTCATCTGTTGAAGTGAATGAGAGATTTTTCAATTAGTATTTTTATCAAACTGTATCAGTTTAAACCTGGATGTATTTTTTATACAGAAATTTTATGTTGGCAGAGGGAGAAAAGATAATCTCTAACTCACTGTAATCAATGGTTATCAATTCTTCTTTATTCCTTTCTTCACAGGGTTGGAGACTAACTGAATTTGAGTCACAAAAGATCTTGCAAGATAGCAGAATATTTTAGGTTAATGTTAAATAAGGAGAAACTATTTAATATTCTCTATGTTTCATATTCTTCCCTTACATTTTGCAGATAGCAAAGTTTGTCTATACAAAAACTAATCAGCCAAATAACTTGATTGTAGAACAGTAATTACAAGAGATGGGGAAAGGACAGAGCAGATAAAGGAAAGTAGTACAGTAGAAGGTACTGAAATATCACAATAAATTCCTTAACATGTACAACTAAAATGTGTTAATAAAAAATAAAATATAAAAAAGATAAACAAGTAAAGCAGTACTAACCATTTCCATTAATATCTACATAAACTTTATTTCAAAGAGTGTATAAAGTGATGGAAATCTCACAGATGAGTACCATTAACATAATAATTTTACTAAATAAAAGCTTCTGTCAGGGAATACTTTTAAAAGTAGACTTCAGCAATAAATAAAACACATGAAGACTAGTCTCATATATCTTTGGTTATGATATATTCTTAGTTTCACCATAATTTTACATAAACCTTCAAGATTAAATGGGGAAGCTTAAAAGTATCTAATCACATTAAGTGTAAAATTCATGAAGACAGAGGTTTTCATTCATTCTTTTCACTGTTGAATCCCCAGTATCCAAATAGTGCCTGGCATATGATGAATATGTGATATGTATTTGTAAAATACATAAATAAGATGCTTATCTATTTTTAAGACAGAATTAAACATATGCTTTGGAAATGAGTTTGTATTATATAATTTGGTAGTTGTTTCCATTGACTAGATGACATTTTAAGATGTCTAGGAATACAAACTAATAATCATGATAACTTTCACATTCAATAGCTAAATTTGAGTTACTTCAAAGTAGAACATCCTCCCACCCCAGATAATAGAAGGTATAAAATCTATCTCAACCAATTTTTAGAAAAACAAAAACTATGACCTTACATTTAACTACATGAAGAAAATACTGTACAGCATGTTGATAGAGTTGAAGGGCTTCCTCATAATTCCCAGCTTTGTCTTCTTGTGCTGCTTTGCTAGCAAGATCTATTGCTTTCTGATTGAGAAAAGCAAAATGTTTACATTAAAACCAAAGCATAAATATAAATGAAATAAGTAAATTGGAACTTTTCTGGGGGGAAAAGTGGCACTTGGTATCAAACTCAGGGCTGACATGCCAGGTAAGTGCTCTACTACTGAGCTACATCTAATGACTAGTAAATTTTTTTAAAAAATAAAAGCAACCTTAAAACAAATCACAACTGTAATTTGTTGTTAATTATCTTATAAAATGCAAATTACATTTATTATATGAACAGGTGCTATCTGAATACAACTTTATGTAGTACTCTCTAAAATTCTCATTATTTTCACACAACTAAAGTCAAATTAGAGCCAGTAAGGAATAAATGAGTAATCTGAAAATTCATATTCAAAACAGCATTTAGAGAAACTTCCAAAAATCAACGCCATTAAATCTAAAGCATAGTAGAAACGTGTGGGGTAAAACCTCTTGAGAAGCAATGGGGTAACGTGTTACCAAGAATCTGAAAAATGCCCAAAACTTTTAACCTATTAAAGTTTACTCACTGAGCAAAGACATTAATCAGAGGTCTTTTAAATAAAAAAACAAATTTTACACAGCAAAAGGATGCCACACAACATTAAAGGATCCATAAATTAATAACACAGAAAGTGTTTATGACAGACTCCTCCTCTCAACCCCTCAGCACAGGGGGAGAAAGCCAGGATCTTGAGCATGCTATGTAAGCACTCTACCCACCACTGACTGAGCTACATAATCAGTCAGCTGCAACATTTCAGAGTTACCAACTATTTGAAATAATAGCAACAAACAACACAGAAAAAGATGGGAAGGAAGTTTAACAGAGCTCTAATAAATAAATTTCACTGTTTTTTTTTTCATTTTCTCCTTTTTCAAATCTCTTAAAATATATCCATGTGATTTGGAATATGATGCAAAAGCAGTCAGTATCAGAAGAATAGGCTTTTTAAGGAAATGCTGGTGACCAACTGGAGGTCCATAAGCAAAAAAGAATCTCAATTTGAACCTTATACTTTCTGTAAAACTTAACTCCAAGTGGCCATAGAATTACATAAAAAAATAGAAAACTGTAAAACTTGGAAAAATCTTCAGTATCTAGGGCTTGGCAAAGGGGCTTAATTTGACATGAAGCATAACGTATAAAAAGGAAAAAAAGAAAAAAGAAAAACCTTGTCAAACTTGTTCTCTAGAAGACTCTTATAAAAAGATGAAAAGACAAGTTACAGACTGGGAGAACTATTTCAAAACACATTCAACAACAACAACAAAAAACTAGTATCTACAATACATAAAGAACTCTGAAAACCCAACGGCTAAAAAGAATCCAAATAAAAAAAGGACAAAAGATGTGAATGAATGAATATGTTACCAAAGGTTATATACTTAAGATTATTGTCTCAAGGTGCATGTAATATAAATCAAATACACAAGCTTAAATATTGCATGGTTTCTCTTATATGAGAAATCCAAAGTATAAATAACATAAAGAGCAAAATACTAAAATATAATAAAAAATATGGAGATAGATCTTATCCAAATGAGAAGGGGAACAAGATATGGAGGGAGGAAGAAAACTGGGGAATGGTAAAAAGAATTAAGATGTGTTATGTACATGGACCAAGTCCCTATGATAAATGTAACCATTATGTACAGCAAATATGCACTCATAACAAAGGATATACAGATGGCAAATAAGCACATGAAAAGATGCTTATATAAGCCATCAGAGAAATGCAAATTAAACCAACAATGAGATCACAACAATTACATGAGAAAGGGTAAAATAAAATATAGTGTACAACATCACCATTAAAAACCAATAGCTTTTCTATACAACAATACTGAACTAGCTGAGAAACGTCAGGAGAACAATTCCATTCACAACAGCAGCTTTAAAAAAAAAAAAAAAAAAAACCTTGGAATTGACCCAATAGGCAAAAGACCTGTGCAGTGAAAATTACACAACACTAAGGAAAGAAATTAGACACTAGAAAAATGGAAAGGCCTTCCATGTTCATGGATTGACAGAATTAATATTTTTATATTGGCTATATTTTTAAAAATCTATAGATTCACTGTAATCCCCATCAAAATTCCAAAGACATTCTTTACAGAACTAAAAAATAAAGTAAAATAAAATAAAATCCTAAAACATAAAAGACCTATAACAGCCAAATCCTAGGCCAAAAAAAAAAGTTAAGGCTAGAGATATCACAATACCCAATTTCAAATCATATACAATGGAAAAACAGGATGGTACTGGCACAAAAAGATAAATAGACCAACAAAACAGAACAGAGGACACAGAAATAACTCCTTGTAACCTTAGTCATCTGATTCTTGTCAGAGAAGCCAAAAACATACACTGGAGAAAAGAGGGTCTTTTAAATAAATGGTGTTGGGAAAAATTATAGAAGATCGAAACTAGATCCCTATATCATTCTGCACAAAATCAACTCAAAATAGAAAAAAACTTAGGTATGCAACCTGAAACTGCTAGAAGAAAACATATGGGAGATAGTTGAATCCAGAGCCACAGCCAAAGACTTCCTGAACCAATATTTCCTGAATGGGAAATAATATTAAGGATCAATAAATGGGAGTACATTAAATTAAAGTTTCTACACAGCAAAGGAAACAACCAACAAAATGAAGAGATAGCCTATAAAATGAGAAAAACCTTTGTTTTTGCCATCTACTCTTCTAACAGAGGATTAATATTTAGAATATATGAAGAACTCAAAAAAAAACCCCAAAATCAAAGAGCTAAATTAATAAATAGGCAAATAAATGAAAAACACTTCTTTAAAAAAAGTATAGATGGCCTGTAGATACATGAAAATATGTTCAACATCTTTACTTATTAGGGAAATGCAAATCAAAGTATATTCACATTCCATCTCATGCTCATCAGAATGTCTATCAACAAATGCTGGCATGGATAGGGGTGGTGGCGGAAGGAATGCTTTTACACTGTAATGGGAACGTAAATTAGCATAACTAGTACCAAAATCAGTATGGATGTTCCTAAAAAAAACTAAAAATTGAACTACCACATGATCCTGCTATACCACTCCTTGTTATACACTACAGAATTAAAAGACGGCATACCATACTATAGGGATATCTTCATACCCAAGTTTATTTTTTCGGCACAATTCACAATAGCCAACAGATAGAACCAGCTTATGCACCCCTAAGCAGATAAATGGATAAAGAAATGTGTTATATGGGGAGCGGGGAGATTTTCTGGGATTTAATCCAGATGGGGAACACTGAGGTAATAAAGAATACAAACCTTCAAGAAGATGCGAAAGACACTTTCAAATTAGTTGAGCCAATTTGTGTTCCATTTGCATGTAAGAGTTCCTACTTTTCCACATTCTTGCCTACACTTCAAATGATGTTTTAGGATCCTATTTTTTTTCTTAATTTTTAAAATGAAAAAAAATGGTTTTTATAAAACTATATAAGAAAGAAAAAAGGCTCAGCTTCAACATTTAGCAACTCATAGCTAATTTGTTTGGTAGTGCGGGGGATTGAACCCAGTGCCTCTCACACTGCACAGGCAAGTGCTCTACCTATGATCTACATCCCCAGCCCTCCCATAGTTAGTCTCATAGCAATAACTCTACTTACTCCCTCACTCGCAGATAATTTTGAAGTAAACCTAAGGTGTTATATTTTCCTAAATATTTAAATATGCATTTCTAAATTATCAGATTTTTAAAAAATGTAACAATCATCTTTTAAAGTTGTTTTAAATTTTAATATAAAGATATATGAATAAAATATAAAATATTTTAACTATTAAAATGAATTGTGGTATACATATAGAGTTTCAGCTATAAAGAGGAACAAAATTTTGTCATTTGTAGGAAAATGGGTGGAACTGGAGATCGTCATGTTAAGCAAAATAAGGCAGACTTCAAAAGACAAGTGTCATATTTTTAACACAAACTCTGAATTAGATGACATGAAAGTAGAGGAGATTGGTATTTGACAAGAGGAAGGAATAAAGGAGATGGGAAATAGGGTGCAATATATACATACATACAAACACACATATACACACACACACACACCTCACTGAAATCCAATATTTTATAGAGCAGGCACTAAAAAAAGTATATTAAAAAAATATAGCTGGTGTGGTAGTGCACACCTGTAATCCTAGCACTCAGGAAGCTGAGGCAGGAGGATCGCTGTATGAGGCCAGCCTGGGCTGCACAGTGAGTTCAAGGCCAGCCTGTATTACAAAGTGAGACCCTGTCTCACCCTCCCCACTGCCCCACCAAAAAAAGAGACAATTGCTGGTGAGGATACAGAAAACTAGGTCACCTATTATTTGTTGGTGGAATATAAAAAGTACAGCCACTCTAGGAAACAATGTTTTTGTTTTGTTTATAACAATGACAAGCAACTACAGTCCCGAGCATTTATTCCAGAGAAATGAAGATTTATAATCACACAAAATACTGAACATGTCAGCTACAGATGTCTTTCAATAGCTGCATGGTAAAATGAGTCAAAAAACACTAAAAAAATCAAAAGCTGTAGTATACTGTTACCATAGGATACTCCTCAGTAATAAAAAAGAATGGACTATTGTTATACATGACTTGGATTAACTTCCAGGGAATCATGATGACTGAAAAAAGCCAAACCCAAACAGCTGCAGAGTATGATTCCAACTATACAATTCTCTCAAAAGGACAAAATCAGGTATGGAAAACAGATTAGTTTTGAAGAAGGTAGGAATGGTGGGTGGAAGAGGGAGGTAACTGTGGTCATAAAGGGGCAACAAGTGGGATCCTTGGATGGAGTGGTTCTGTACCTTAACTGTGGCAAACGATACTCAAACCTGCACTGTGATAAAACTGCACAGAAGCACACATGTAGACACACATAAATAAATACACATAGTATAAGTCAAACTGAAGAAAGGTGAGTAGGAGTTATAGAATGCCTCAAAGTCAATAGCCTGGTTG